GTGCACATGCTCTCTGCTCTCTCTGCCCGCTCCCTCTTCCCCTGTATTGTTCGGAGGCCTTTGTTGTGATGGTGGGAGGGATTAGGCAGGTTTGCTGATGTTGTCTTTAGGTTATGCTACATAGAAGTACTTCCTGTTCTAAGGAAGTGTGTGTACAAACACTGTGTGCTTTGAGAACCATTCAGAATGATCACGTTATGCTTTTACATTGGGTTATCTAGTTCAATTTTTTTGTTTAGTTTAAATGCCGGGGGGACTTTGGGAAAGGAGGACGAGTAAAATGATTTCACATTATAGTTCTGCCACAGGGGATTACTTTGTGGTGATAAAGCAACACAACTATATCAAGTAGAGCTAAAACTATTAGTTGGCAAATAAATATCTACCACTATTTTGATAATCAATATCATTTAAGGCACAAACCTTTTATACATAATTTGGTTCAAGCATTTTTTATATGGAAGATTGGCTTTTTTGCCTCCGTTTGCCTCATATTACTGTAAAACAGTGTCAGCAATAGTTTGAGGCAAAAGGCAAAAAAGTGAAGAGGGGGGGGGGGGGGGGGAAATGCATTTTGAAGGTAAATGTCTTCAAATTTTAAATATCGCCTGTGAAAAAATGCTTTGCATACCAAATGTTTTTTAGTTTAGCCAATTTAAGGAATTTCTAGACAACATCTCAGGATTTCGTAAATTATATGGCATTATTTGAAATGGTTTGGCTTCTAAAAAATGTATTAACATTTGAGAATGTTAGATGTTTTAATGTCCTTTAAAACCAGGATGCTATTTGCACGTTGTTGGAACCTCATGCTTATATTTGCCATGGATGTGTGATCCTCGAGCAAGAATGTGCAGCTAGTTGTCCAGTGACGATCTTTACCTTTTGTAACTAGACAAACAACACTATTGTGACGGACAACGTGTCAGCCTAATTGGGTTACCCCCTCCCCCTCGCGGACTATGTAGTCATTTAGCACAGGGGGGCTCAGGTGTCTCGCTCCGTGACGCCTCCCCTCTCTTCAATCCCCATAATTGAATTTCGCCTTCCTTTCCCAAGTAGCTCCTTGCCTGCCTGACGATAGGGCCTTAACTAATTTTCTATATGATTTAATTTAAGGGATAGGTAAGAGACGTGGTTTGCTGGGAGGAAATCATGGAAGGACTTTTCTGGTGTCCCTGTTTTGTGATTGAAGTACTTTTTGAACCATTTATAGTACAGATACAGCCCCATTTTGTGTCTCGCTACACACTATATACCCCTCCAGTTATTAGATATTGGTGGTTATCCTATTTTATATTTCTCACAGTTTGTTTATTTGCCAAAGATAAAAAAAAGTTTGAGCCCTGCTTGTGTTTCTATTTACATGACATTACTGAGCTTTCGAATAACTAAGCCATGTTCTGCTTTTTCCCCTTCAGTCTCTGTGGAAACGGATCTGTTTACGCTCTATCTCGGGGATCGTCTGGATCTGAGTTGCTCTGCCAAAGTGCATGCAGTCAACTGGACCAAAGACCATGTGTCTGTGGTGGATGGAGAACACACACACATCCGCAACGGCCAGCTGGAGATCGAGACTGTGGAGCTGACGGACTCTGGTCTGTACGCCTGCATCACCTTCGGCAACCACAGCGTCTACTTCAACGTCACAGGTAACGTCTCAGAAAAGGAATTGCAGCAGATTTGGTCTAGTTTGATCACTGAGAAGCTAAATACATCTTCAGTGTGAAAGTACATCATTCTGGTAATGGTCATGCAATGGAATCAAAATGTTGACATTACATATTAAAGGGGCAGTGAAATGCTTGGTAATGTACATTTTCATTCATAAAAAAACGGTAGAGATTTTCTGCCCTGGTTTCTTTTAAATTCAATTTTTTAAACTAACAAATAATTGTTAAAAAGTCCATTAGACTTAATTGTTGACAAGAACGGTTTGTTTTCCAGCGACACCTGTTAACACTGTATCAATTCTCAGATTGTGCCCATAAAAGTCATTCTGTTATTTATTTATTTTTGTACTAAAACTGTATGATTAATGTAAAACAGGACATGCAGTCGCCTTTTTTCAATGTGTATATATAAACTCCCGAAAAGAAACGACTGAAATGCTAGTCTTGTTTTTGGTGTTGTGTTACTGTCTGTATAAATAGAATTGTACCTTTTTGTTTCACTAGTTGATACCCTGGCCTCATCTGAGGATGATGATGAAGATGAAGAGTCTTCGTCTGAGGAAGCCAAACTGTTGGGCAGTCAGAAGCTTCTGCGTAAGTGTGCTCATCTTTTCAGCGTACTAATGCCTCTGCAACAAATGCTGGCCCTGAGTCACAGAGTTGTGAGTAATTGTCATGAATGGTCAGTGATTTGAAAGCTTTATGATTCGATTATGGGTCTGCCATGTGTGTGTGGGTCACACACTCTGTGAATGATTTTTCTCTGAATCACAGGGTTTTCACCACCTCGGTGACAGCTTTTACATGAAGAATATCCCTGCGGTGACTAACAGTGGTTAACCTTAGATGACTTCCAATTTGTTCCTTAGAGTAATTAAGACACTCGAGCTTCATCATCTGGCCACTCTGCCCACAGAGAGTCCAGCAGCTGCCAAGCATGGCTACCAAGACGACCTTTACTTGTTTTACTCTTGACTCCCAGAGCCAAGGGGAGATCCTTAATCTCCCCTTAAACCTACACAATGTGACTTTACTCACCCGAGGTACAGCCAAAACCTCTCAAGGAAGTATTTTTTTTCCAACTTTTATTTAAGGAAAGGAAACATACTCACTGTGACTATAATTTAAGAACATGCATTATGTAATACATCCATCCTTTTCTTCCGCTAAACCACGTCTGGTTTGTGGTGGGACCGGCCAAGAAAGACAGACCAGACATTCCTCATTGCTTCTTATCCTCTTTTTGAGGGTGAGCCCATCCACTACTGATGCACCGGTTGACCTAGAGGTTCCCCAGAGGTTTGGTTAAGCTTACTAGAAAATATAACAGTTCAAAAATTCAAACAAAATGAGGCAACTATGCTAACAATATATCTCTATCAATTATTCTTATATACACACATGCAGCAATTTCCCCCTTAGTCTGTCATTGTTTCAGTCCTGATTACTGAGCTACTTTACTGCATAAAGTTCGAGTCTGGTCAGGTGGTTGATTAAACAAAATGTGTCCGGGTTAGTTATGGCGCATTTCCACTACAGCGCGGAGCTCGCTTTAATGCCGCAGTTCCACTACAGCGCGGAGCTCGCTTTAAGCGTGCCGTGTCGTGCCGTACCCGTTTTTGGTTGCGCTTCCACTAGGCCTAGTCACGGCCCGGCCCGGCCCGGGGCCACTTTTTCACCTCTTTTCTGGCCCGACAAAATTGTGGTTCTATCGGGGCCAACAAACAGGGCTGAGTCGGGCTGAGTATGCTAAACTAGAGAGAGGAGCGCTGCAAGAGGGCTAGAACTACAACAAGATGGACATATTTGACCGTGATTTAATTGTAATACACGTTTCAAAATGATGCCGAAGTAACAACATACTGATACCGGTTAGTAAAAACCATGAATTAATGCTTTGTCAAGTCTGCAGACAGACGGCAGGCGAAAAACCTTTTAAAATGCGTGTTTTTCTAGATGGAGATTGGCTAAGCTAACGCAGTATATGCTCTGACCGTCCACACTCACAACAACGGCCTATACAGACATAAATAAAGCAGCGACTGTATTCACCATGACACAGGCAGTCTGTGGTGTGTACTTGTTTAACTTTTGTCGAGTTTCTGAACATATATAAGGAGCTGTGAGCTCTGAGTGCTAACAGCTAACGGCTGTGTTGTGTTTCTGGAGTTCTCATTGAAGATGACGTCACGGCTCCGCCTACACTGCGTTACTATAGTAACTACCCCAGTTCCTAAACTGTAATGGAAGCGCAGCATGAAGTGAGTCGGCCCTGTTAAGGCCCAACGCGGCCAAGCCGTACCGAGCCATACCGAGTGTGGCCGAGGCTGACCGTGTAGTGGAAATGCGCCATAAGTGTGCCGTGCCGGGCCCGGCCCGGCCCGTTTTTGGTTGCGTTTCCACTTGGCGTAGTTCCGGCTAGCAGGTACTATTTCACAGTTTTTCTGGCCCCATAAAATCGAGGTTCTTTCCGGGCCAACAACCAGGCTGAGTCGGGCTAAACTGGAGAGAGAATCGCTGGCAAGGGGGCTACAACTACAACAAAATGAACATATTTGACTGTGATTTAATTGTAATACACGTTTCAAAATGATGCCGAAGTAACAACATACTGATACCGGTTAGTAAAAACCATGAATTAATGCTTTGACAAGTCTGCAGGCAGACGGCAGGCGAAAAACCTTTTAAAATGCGTGTTTTCTAAATGGAGATCGGCTAAGCTAACGCAGTATATGCTCCGACCGTCCACACTCACAACAACGGCCTATACAGACATAAATAAAGCAGCGACTGTATTCACCATGACACAGACAGTCTGTGGTTTGTACTTGTTTAACTTTTGTCTAGTTTCTGAACATATATAAGGAGCTGTGAGCTCCGAGTGCTAACAGCTAACGGCTGTGTTGTTTTTCTGGGGTCCTCTGAAGATCACGTCACGGCTCCGCCTACACTGCGTTACTATAGATACTGCCCCAGTTCCTAAACTGTAATGGAAATGCGCCATAAAGTGAGCCAGTCCTAACGAGGCCCAGCCATACCGAGCGGGGCCGAGCGAGGCCGTGTAGTGGAAACGCGCCATTACAGGCCCGGCAGATGTACGACTTTTTGTGATTTTTCATCTCCGTGTGGACGGGGCCTTAGAATTACTCTTAGTGTGGCCCCTCCCCCTGGGACCAATTTGCCTTTGAAAACCCTACAATAAAGCTATTGCCCTGATTCAAATGGAGCTTGAGGTTTAAGGTACCTACAATGTTTTGCATCCTTACAAACACAAGCTAGTATTTATTACTTGTCTGATTTATTTTTATTTTGTGTCTTCTTCTTTAGCAATGGCTCCACAATGGGCTCATCCTGAGAAAATGGAGAAAAAGCTTCACGCTGTCCCAGCCAGTAAGACGGTGAAGTTTCGGTGCCAGGCTAGCGGAAACCCAAATCCCACCCTGAAATGGTACAAGAATGGCAGGGAGTTCAAGAGAGACCATCGCATCGGGGGCTTCAAGGTAACAGAAAATATTTTTAGAAACGTTTTCCGTTCAGTTTATTTTTAGTGACACTACACCCTCCTTAGCATTTCTTATTGAATCACTCCAAGCCCGTTCACTACGAGGGGAGATGTGTCAGTGATCTCATCTCCACATTAGATCACCACCGCCCCCTCCCCTGGAGTAAGAAACACTTCTGCAAGTGAAAAGCGTAGGCAAGTGTCACATTTGACCTGAGAAACAATGCAAGATGAAACCTAATGCCACAAAAAGGGAAGTCGTGGCAGAGCTATAATACCTCCAGGTGGGCAATCCTAGCCATCCGTTTGGTGGAAGATAACATTGGCCGGGACATTTCTGTAATTTCATCCATGCAGCAGTAAATCTACCAATATGAGGGCTGGGTATTGTTCAGTTATATCTTGTCCCTGTGTCTGATCCCTGAATGATACCCTTTTTTGACACCAATTGTATACATTTAATTTTAATACAAAATAAATTACGACATATGCAGTACCTTACAGATTTTTTTTCTCTTCTTGTACAGGCAAGCTCCATGTTTATTAGCTCACTAACGTTCATGAGATTTAATCCTTATGTATTGGAATATGGTATTGAAACATATGGCTTTTAACAATTTGGTCAGTGTCAAAAGATAAAAATTATAAAATTGTTTCACTGCCTCTATATACTACTTACTGTATATTTTGTGTATGCTATCATAACTTCGTCAACGTCTGCCCATTTCCTGGCAAGCTGTATTCAAATGCGCAGCCATCTGCTAATACAGTAAACTGCTAAGTTATAATTGTTGATAACAGTTTACTCTTATCTCTGGATTTACTTAGCAGAGGTGTGGCAGGTGATGGATGTGAACCCGGATCTGTTTTACACCACCACTTACTGGCTATGGCATCATGAGGCCCCAGAGACTTTGAATAATGTATTCGTTTTTAAGGATTCTTTTTTTTGGGGCTTTATTTAAAAACCTCAGATGACCTTTTTCATAAAAAAATATATTTGGTAAAACCGTAGTCATAATGTCATAGGAGGCTGTAAATATGTTGCTTTAAGTACCTTTACATCAACTTCTCTGTGATTATCTGTGTTCAGTTGCCTCACAGGTGTGGGATGTATGTCCATGTTCTCTAAGAAACATCCCCCTCCTTCCTTCATCTGCTCTTCCTATCAAGGTGTACACTAGTCCAGCCCTGTCTGGTGCTTCCAGCCCATCTCCCTCCCCAGCTGGGACACATTTAAGAGTTTCCTCCCAGCTGCCTGCTCCCCTTGTCCCCACCCAGCCAGGCAGCACACTTAACCATCTGGCTGCTGTTTTTTTGAGTCAAGGTGCAAAGGTCTGCATCAGCGGACGGGGACGTCTCTCATCCCTCCCACACTCTTGCCTTTATGGCCTGGGCTTCTATTGTTCATATCGTCTGCATGGAGACGTGCAGGAGGGAGGGAATAATGTGGACCACATGTATATGTAGCCAAGCACAACACATCTGGCAGCAGGCAGCTGGACTCCCTCATCACGTTTTAGCTAAATGAGGGAAACTGTATGGCTCGGTCTTGTGTATATGCATGTTTGATGTTGCCATTGCCTCAGAGGTTCGTTGGTTAATCACACACTGCCGGTCTTGGCAGATTTATGGAAGAAAAACTATAACATGTCTTGGAAAAAAGAGCCAGACATCAGTTGGCGCTAATAAGACAAGTTGGGGCAGATGTATATAAAACATGTACCCATTTTCCTTTGGTGTTTGTTTGGTAGGACAAAGATCCGCTGTTTGTAACATAGGCTGGTGTCACAGGAAGAAGGAGTAGTGTGTTATCTTGTTATCATCACATCACACATCATTGACCTTGTTAGCCGTCGCTTTGAACAGAACAACATTTGATTTACGACAATTCATATAGGGTAAAAGCAGATGGAGAGAACACAAGTTCTCTTAAGTTTTTAATGTAAAATGCAGAATTGCAGTTTAGCTTCATCTCTGTGGGCTAGCTGCTGGCCTCATTTACGTTACTTCAATTTGAGTTCAATTTAAGTACTGATTGTTCTTAAACACTATTAAGTGCTATTTTTTACCATTTCCATCAGGACCTAAACTGACCTGCAGTGAGAGAGGTTTTTGTGAGCTAACACATCTGTAGCTGCCAACAAATTAACTAATCTGTGTACATAGCTGGGTTATCCCCTGTGCTGTTTAATACCATAAACTGTATGTTTGGATACTTAGTCACTTTGAGCAGCAGTCCTATCTGTACTGTGTTTGTACGCCAGTCACTCTAACATTTGCTTTTTCCAAACTGTTAGGTCCGGGATCATGTGTGGACCATCATCATGGAATCGGTAGTTCCCTCTGATAAGGGAAACTACACCTGTGTGGTGGAGAACCAGTACGGCAGCATCAATCACACCTACCAGCTCGACGTAGTGGGTAAGTGTAAACTGCAATCAGGTTGTCTGTATATTAAACCCTGATCAATAAATCGTTATCATGGCTGTTAAATATTGATGAGAATCCAGAGTATGGGTGTTAATCTTTCAATGTTTTCTGATTTGTTTCAATATTGATTGATTTGGTTTGTTGGGGTCACAATTTGATTGAAATCCCCAGTCCGCTTGCTAATAAGATGTTGTCCAAAAATATGGTATTGAAGCAGTAAAGTGTGCTTAGGACGATTTAATTGTTATATGATTGCATATTCATATTTATTCATGCTAAACTAGCACAAATAAACGGATTTAGCTAAATGGTGTTTAGTATTTCTTAATTCTCACTTGCTTCAAGAATAACAAATTCAAGTTACACAAAAACTGCTGCCTGATGCATACATTAAAACGGTTGGCTTGGACAAGTTTCTAAGGAGTTAGCCTATTTCACCATACGTTTTCTTTCACCAAGACTTTCACCATACATTTTTTAAATTTATTTAAAAGAAAAAAAAGGGTTAGGGTTGCCCCAATTCCTACATGAATCAATTTGTCCCAAATCCTTTTCCTTAAGTAATGTTGGATAATACCTCCAATATCTCATACCAGAATACCCTATTAACCAACCTGTTGTAATCCTTATCGACGAAGGGTCAAAGTATTGTGTTGGGTTCGACTGTATCTCTCTCAGCCCTTTAATAAATAAAACCTGTGCACGAGTGATGGATGTGTGTAGAGGAGAGAAGTGATTACTCCCCTCAGACCTGCCCTGTGCCTCACTCCTACACCACTGGTTCTATAAATCTCGGCCCCACTTCCTCCGTCACTGCTGTCCCTGGGCTCGACCTCAGTCCATGTTTAGACCCTGATGAGCCGAGATACGGCGTCAGTGAGGGGAGAATTATTTCACAAGTGCTTGCTAAGGGCCCGTGAATGTCTTGGTGAGGAAAGCCTGCACAGTTGACATACTGCCAGATTCTTGGCTAGTGAGTTTACTTTGGAGAGTTATCAGTCATCAAAATGGAGCCGCAGGAACTTTTAATTTTTTCAGTAACAGCTCCAGATCAGATACTCAACTTCCATCTATTTCCTCAATAGCTGAGGAAATAGCTGATTTTATTCTCCATGTAGCAGAACGATTGTCTATAATTGACATAGTATCAGTTTAGATTATACAGACGGACTGTCCCAGCCCTTTCCCGTAACAACGCATTGGTTTTATTTGGCTTGTGTTTGATAATCAGTCAGCCGTGTGTACTTTTGGAGTGATGCACGTGTTTGTCTTTGATATTGAAGCTCGCCAATCTTCTTCTAATCTAACATTCGTTTGTTTTGTGTTGTGTTTCAGAGCGCTCTCCCCACAGGCCCATCCTGCAGGCCGGCCTGCCCGCCAACCGCACCGCCGTGGTGGGCAGCGACGTGGAGTTTGAGTGCAAAGTGTTCAGCGACCCTCAGCCTCACATCCAGTGGCTGAAGCACATCGAGGTGAACGGGAGCAGAGTCGGTTCTGATGGATTACCGTATGTCCGTGTGCTCAAGGTAGGAGCTTCCTCTTATCACTCCTGCAGCAACAAACCAGTATAAATTACTCTTTTGAATGCTTCTTTATATATTGCCCTGTATTGCTATGCCACTTATTTTCTTAGATCGTAAGTACTTCCTGTGAAAGGGGATTCTTATAAAAATCTTAAAAGGCATTCAAATCATCAATCGGAAATAAGTATGGATCAATCTTCCAAAGCTCTTAACAACGCTAAGATGAGTAATGAATAATACATTTTTTTCTGTCATTAGTTTTAAAACGACTAAATGATTGGTAACATATCTTTTTTTTAACTATTGACTGCATGCTTCTTGCATTAGCGTCACACATATCAGGATAGAGTAACCAGCAGTACACTTATTGGTTGGTTTTCTGTGATGCTCAGAGCAGATGCAACATGCGTGAGTGATAATTATATGAAAACATTTTTATGTTACAGATATATTTTGAGCAAAGTTGTTCTATTTAATTTAGGTTATCTTTGAGTTTGTATTGCATCTAAAAAGTGGCATAAAAGTCTTAAATCTAACTTGTGGCTCTAGGAACTGAATATATGAAGTGTATCTTGATATTGAATCTCTGCACATAACCAACATGACTTCTCCTGAATTCTTTACTGTCATTTGATTTTCTGTGATGCACATGACATGTTTTTATTTCCAGCATTCTGGGGTCAATAGCTCGGACGCTCAGGTGCTGGCCCTCTACAATGTGACTGAGGAGGAGAGCGGAGAGTATATTTGTAAAGTGTCCAATTATATAGGAGAGGCCAATCAGTCGGCCTGGCTGACTGTCACCAGATATGAGCCCACAGGTAACCACCGCGCAGCACAGGGACGACACAGTGGACCACCTGGATAAACTAGGGCCGTATAACTCGAGACAACCTCAGCTGTTTCTCTCCTCCCTCCGTCTCTCCCTCCCTCTCTCCTGCCTCAGTGCTCCTGACTGTAAATGACGCTATGGAAAATTCCCAGCAGAACAGTTGAAAGTGTTTAGGCTTGGGTTTATGTTGGACCCGTTACCATTCCTGCCCCATGCCTGTGCCGTGCCCTCCTAATAAGGGCCTCTCTTGCCATCTTCTTCTATTACTCTCGCTCCCTTGCCCTTCAAAGTCCTCCGTGCACAGCACACAGGCTCTCTCTCTCTCTCCCTTTTTTTTTCCAAGCTGTCCTCCTTCTGCTGACCTATGTTCCCCAGACCTCCTGTTTTTATCTGATGCTTACATAGTTTGTATGATTGTGAGTGTGAGTGTGCCCTGTTCTGCTGCGGAGTTTTCCATGTTGCCCATCTCTTGCATGTAGAGATGAGACTGAGGTATTTGATGTGGTGATGGGGTGGCCCAGTTCAGGAGTCAACCTAACCCTCTTCTCCACTAACAGAAAGGAGAGTCCTCTGCAGGGGCTCTCTGTGGTACTTTGTGGGCAGATGGTGTTGGATCGAGGAGGAGAACGCTCCTCCATCCCCTTTCTCTTTCAGAATCCTTTACTCATGGTTACCTTTCCCCTCTTGGGCCTCTTGTTGGGTCTGCTTCCTTTGTTATTTTCTAGACCGCTGGCCTTAACACCACGGACAAGGAAATGGAAATCCTCCAACTGAGAAATGTGTCTTTTGATGACGCTGGGGAGTACACCTGCTTGGCGGGCAATTCTATCGGGTTCTCTCATCACTCTGCATGGTTGACCGTTTTTGAAGGTATCAGTGGTTCTGTCTCTCCTATATTTCCATTATTTACCATTTTCCAACTCCAGCCTGGCTCTCCACCTTTACATTGGCCAGAAAAGAGCCTGACTCTATTTCTGTACAAAAATGTAAGAGCAAGCCAGGGCGAGTTACAAATACTAAAACCTTCTCTGTCCTCAGCATGGCTCCTGCTCCATCTAAACTCTCTAGATGGGAGAGTATGGGCCATGCTTCACTGTTTCTTTAATGAAATCAGCAAATGCCAAACAACCCCAAAAGCCGTCTTCTACCTGGTCTACCATGAAAAACAGCCAGTGGTATTTTAAAGTATAATTAATGGTCTCAGCCAGGTAGAACATCACTTTTATGGAGCGGTTGTTTGGCAGCTCTGATCAGATTTCACTTTGAACTGTCTCTACCGTTCTGCTTTTAACTGGTGTTTGTGCTCAATTTGGTGTAAAGCTGATTTTCTTTGACAAGTGCTACAAATGACATGTATTCCTTATGTCATTTCCTGCTGTGAGCACAGCGGCTGGCTTTGATAATTGGCCCGCAGTAGTGGATGTGTGTCTCATTCCTGAGGGTTGGAATGGACATTTGTCCAATTATCAAGCTGCTTGTCAGTCAGCCTCTTCACACAAGTGCAGCTCACTTGTGTTGCTGGTGTTGGTTGGGGGTGTAACGGTGCACTTCAGTCGGTACGGCACCCTTGGTTTGGGATGCATTTTTCAACATGCACACATTAGTTGTAGTTGATCATCTCGCACTAACAGGAGGCAACACAGTGCCACAGTGTCATACTTTTAAGTGGTAATACTTCCTACAATTGGAGTTAAGAGTCAAAACGTTTCATGAACATTTTTCATACACAACCCTGCGTTTTTTGTCAAGTTCTAAACAATTTAAACTAAACAGTTAAAGCTATTGAATAAATAAAATAAGTTAATAAGGCATATTGCATTTATTTATTTTGTAAATGTAATATAAATGTTTCTAAATAAATGTTAAGCATATGCCAGATTAGAATGAGCAGTTGTATGGACTTAAAATACATTGTTTGACACAAATAAAGAAGAGTAGTCATTATTAATCTCAACAGGATTTAACACCGTAGGTAGAACAAGAGACAAACTTTTTGATATCTAGCTTTTGATCCGAATGCAACATCCCAAGCCAAGGTAACCACCAAACAATTTGTTTTACTGAAATCCCTTACACCCCTAAAATTGGTATGGTAAACGTTGGTGTTTTCACTGAATGGGAGGAAAAAAACAAGATCTGATTTGGACAGTTTCTTTATAAGTAGAAGCATTTATTTGTTGCATTTTTGAACACTTAAATGTTGTTTTCTTAAAAAAAACACAGTCTTATTACCAGCACCAACACACCACTTATTATAATAGCATTACAAGTCGAGTCAGAAGTGTACATTTAAATGTAGCTAGTTTAGTTGGATAAACAGTTAACTACTGTATTAAGCTTGTGCTTTTTTGATATGCTGCTTTTAGACTACAGGTAGACATGACTTGAGATTAGGCTAATTCTTATGTAGAAATTATGTTTTTAAACTTTGTGTTTGAAGTCTTGATATGCTGTTTAAAAGTCAGATCCTTTGCACACTGTTACACTTGAAAGAAATGTGTCGGTCTGAATGAAATAATTTGTTAGCTAGTGTAACAAAGACTGTTAGTCATCTTTGTTTGTCCCAACTGTTTCTCATTTATCTCAATGACCTCTTCATATATTGTCTTCAAAGTGTAGTTTGAAGCCTCATGCTTTAAAGAAGTGATCCTTTTCAAATGTCAATTCTTTGTCTAAGGTGTCTGTGTCAAAGGCTCTGGTTTTTAGACAGTGTGTGTGCTGTGTGGTTTTGTGTGTGTTTGTTTGGGTGTGCAGTTTGATTTATTTGTGTGTGCTTGAAAGCATGGGTATGTTTGGTGTGATTGGGTTTATAAAGTTAGACATTCTGTGTAGGGTTGGGCAATATGTAGAAAATCAAATACTACCATATTTCTGATAACCTACCTCAATTGATATTGTAGGGTTGACTTTTATTGCTATCATAACAATATCTACACAATTTAAATTGTTCATATATAATCATTATTAATGTGGATGTAGTGGCCAATAATAAATCAGAAAACTCCACTAATTTCCTCTAATGCAGCTATTAAAACGGGGAAAAGACACTTAAACGTTATCTAATCTCATATAACATTATCGATATAATATGAATATATTGCCCAGCCCTACTTCTTTCGTAGTGTGATTTCATGGATGACCGCTGACCCCCTCCCTGCTCCCTGCGCTCCCCCCTTCTAGCTGTCCCGCACTATCCTCCAGCAAACCATACCTACCTGGAGGTGGTCATCTACTGTGTGGGCTTCTTCTTCATCGCTGTCATGATTGCCATCGCAATCATTGTCAAGATCCGCACCTCCTCAAAGAAGAGCGACTTCAACAGTCAGCTGGCCGTCCACAAGCTGGCCAAAAGCATCCCACTGCGCAGACAGGTAACAGAAAGTAGATAGGGGGTTTGGAACATTTACACCTTTTCTTCTTCTCTTTCTCTCACTACATGCCAGTTGCTCAGTTTATTTGGAGATTAAAAGCTTTAAAGGTCACCTATTATGCAAAATCCACTTTTTTTTTTTTACTTTTTCATGAATTTTATACATAAACTGTGTACATAGAATCTGAAAGTTTTAGGAAAAAAGATTTGCTCACTTTTTGTCCTGATCCATTTATATAAAAACCTGTCTGAAAATGAGCTGATCAGATTGTGGCCACTTTAGGATGTCATAACGATTTTTTTGGCTTGTGTAACCATTAGCCAATCACCAACCAAGGACACCCCCCCCACCTTATCAACCATTGTGGTTTTTTTAACCAAATATCTCTCAGAGGGGCGTGGGGAGTGGCTCCTTATTTTCATCTAAAGTAACAGACCCAGAATCAGCACTTTTGAAACAGGGCTGAAACAGAGGGGTTTATGGGATGCTACAATGATCTGTTTGGTATTTGGAGCCAAACACTTCAGAGACATGTTTTGTATATATCTGAGACTTATAATATAGTGATGTAAAACATTATAATAGGGGACCTTTAAAATGTATTTCAGCTCATCTGTACATTTACAGAGTTTCTGTTTATACTAACAAATAACTAAAAGCATGCATTTAAAGAGCTTCCAGGTTCATTGTAGCTCTTCGAGGTCTTGTACATCAGGTAAGTATTCGAGGAGTATTCTTCTCCGTTGGTGTAGTGCACCTAAGTGGTTTGTGTGGTTGTTCCATGGTCCTACATAGAAATGATATGAACTACTCTGTAGAAAGGACAGGGTGACATAGGATCCCTCACACGAGTTACTTAAAAAACTGTCTGAATCTCTATCATGGTTTGAGAAGCCTTGTTTTATATTGAAAGGAATAAGTATGTAAGAAAGAATAGACAAACATGATGTTGCTATTATTATTTATATTATTGTTCTTTACTTATGCATGGGGACCCTATGATGTTTATAACCTTATTAAAGTTGTTTCGAGTTAAGTTCAGATGTCATTTTAAGAGTTTTAAGCATATTTCAAGGGTAGTAATGATAATTTAAATATCATAAGGGATATACAATGTTTCGATTGTCCCATGCCAGTTTAATTTTTCTTTACTGCCCTGCTGTGAACTATATAAGATCTTGCCACTGGTGTCTGTTCCACTACGAGAGAAGTAATTTTAGTCTTTTTTCCTCAGGTGTCTGTGGACTCGAGCTCCTCCATCCACTCTGGAGTGATGCTGGTTCGTCCCTCCCGCCTCTCCTCCTGTGGATCCCCCATGCTGCCCGGGGTGTCAGAGTACGAGCTGCCCCAGGACCCTCGCTGGGAGCTTCTGCGGGATAGGTATGCACACTTCCTTGAAGTTTGTTTTTCCTTGAGAAAGTAAACTTATCCAGTTAAAATAGTTAATATGCTTGAAAAGGAACCAACAGCTCAAATGAAGTGAGAGTTTCTCTAGATTTTAATCAAAAAACTAATGTTAAGGTGCCTTTTTACGGTCTTGAACGAAACCTCTTAAAGATTTAAACTTAACACACACATTCTACAGATTCATAGTTATACTCCATTGACTATCTCTGTGTCTTTCTCCCCCTCCTCAGACTTGTTCTTGGGAAGCCTCTGGGTGAAGGCTGCTTCGGTCAGGTGGTGATGGGAGAGGCGCTCGGTCTGGACAAAGAAAAGCCAAACCGTCAGACCAAGGTTGCGGTCAAAATGTTGAAATGTAAGTTTGGTGTTCTTCTTTAAAGTTTTCGAGCACGTGGGTTTACAGAAGGCTTGGATGTACAGTTACTAAAAAAAAAAAAAACAGATCTGCAGAAATAATAAGTTTAGAAAAATATTCGGTTTATAGTAATAGATCTTGGCAGAAGCCTAAAGCCCACGCTCCAGGGAAAATAAAACACTGAAACTTGATGAAGAGATACTGGGAGACATCTGCACTGGATTGGAGCCACTGCGTAAATGAGCAGAGGAGAGTAAACATTTATGAGACCCCTTGACATCCCATATAAAACAGTGTTCATTAAACTGCAGAGGAGTGACGATGTAGGGAAAGTAGCATTTATTGTCTCCTACTCTAAGTGCCTTTCCTCAGGGAGCATTCTCTAAAACAGTCAGCCAAACTCTGCAAGATCTGCAATGTAGTTGTATTTTCTTTGCACAGTGATTTATTATGAGGCCTTTTGGGGCCTTTTCAGCAACAGCACGTTGACTAATTGCCCTAATATGATTAATTTCTCTTCCCCTCCAGCTGACGCCACAGAGAAAGACCTGTCAGACCTGATTTCAGAGATGGAGATGATGAAGATCATTGGGAAGCACAAGAACATCATTAATCTGCTGGGAGCCTGCACCCAGGATGGTAGGACCAGACAGTCAGGGGTCTGCCACTGACCTGCCACACACACACACACACACACACACACACACACACACACACACACACACACACACACACACACACACACACACACACACACACACACACACACACACACACACACACACACACACACACCGTAGATTATCATGACCCTGCAGAGAGAGGTGTAGACCTGCATGAGTAAACTCTCCTGACACCAGCTTCCGAGCTCGCAGTTTGAATCGACCAACGCTGCTGCCAATTCCCTCGAAGCATACCTGACAAAGAACTGAAGGAAACTTTTAATGATCCCGCAGTGCACACCACTCTGTTGCTTTCAAACTGAAACACCAAGCTCTTTGTTCACTCTACTTTATTTAGAAACTGTTACCAACCAATTATTTTTAACTTAATATCTATTTTAAAACTGCAGGTATGTTCATTTACTTGCCTATAGTTCTAGTACCTTTAAAAAAAGTATTTAAGTATTTGATGTGCACATTTTTTCTGTAAATAATCCTTCATCCATCAGAACAATTATTTAGTTGCCTTTATGATTATTTTGGGTGCTGCAATAACCTCTACTTTCACAATAAACACAATTATATTTGACTCAATGTTTCTAGTATCCGCCCTCATATCTGAGACACTAAAAAATGTCATGTGTCTTATGCTGTCTAATGACAAACCAACATAATTATAACTTGGCCTCTATTTATAATAATAAATACATTCCTTCCAATTGTTTGCAGGTCCTCTGTACGTGATAGTAGAGTATGCGTCCAAGGGCAACCTGCGGGAGTACTTGCGAGCTCGGCGCCCGCCAGGCATGGAGTACTGCTACAACCCAGACCAGGTCCCTGTGGAGAACATGGCCATCAAAGACCTGGTGTCCTGTGCCTACCAAGTGGCCCGAGGCATGGAGTATCTGTCCTCTAAAAAGGTAACTACAAAGTTCAACCAACCATTCTCAACTGTTATATATTAGATTTGCAGATTGAGTAAGGAAAACCTGCAAGGCAAGGCAAGGCAAGGCAATTTATTTGTATAGCACAATTCATACAGTGATGCAATTCAAAGTGCTTTACAGGATCAAACAGATAAAAACATAATACATTTTAATATGGTCATAGTGAGATGAAATACAGAAACACACAAAACAATGTTTAACAGTTCAGAAATTAGAAAATGAATGCATTTTTTTACTCTCTATAATAAACATTCTATACAGATTATCAAGCTCTGTATTTGACTGATGTATTGCTTCAGTTTTAGTAATATCTATTGTTATTTGTGCAGTGTATCCACAGAGATCTTGCAGCTCGCAATGTTTTGGTAACGGAGGATAGCGTGATGAAAATAGCTGACTTCGGCCTGGCAAGAGATATCCACCACATTGATTACTATAAGAAGACCACCAATGTGAGTATTCCTATTATTAGCTTAACACATGAAAGGAAAAACGAAATTCTGTACACAGCGATAACAAGCATATCTTTCCACAGGGTCGTTTACCAGTCAAGTGGATGGCTCCCGAGGCTCTGTTTGACAGAATATACACAAACCAGAGTGATGTGTGAGTATCACAAATCTATACTTTTCCAATCCAGCCATTATAAGTGTGAGGACAACATTTAGTCGGGCAGAAAATGTAAACGCTCCTGTCTGTTTCTGTCTGCAGCTGGTCATTTGGGGTGCTGCTTTGGGAGATCTTCACCCTGGGGGGCTCTCCATACCCCGGGGTCCCAGTGGAGGAGCTGTTCAAGCTGCTGAAGGATGGCCACCGTATGGACCAGCCCTCAACGTGCACTCATGAAATGTAAGTAAACACTACACACCAAAATGGTCTAATTTTTTTGTAAGGTTAACTTTATATATCCTTTATTTAACCAGGTAAAAGTCTCTGTCGAACCTAAGGTCTCTACCAGATAAAATAAAAATAGTATTGTTCGGGTCCCATTTTAATTTTCTGCCATGACCAGGTCTTGTCTGTGTTTTAACCAGACTGCCTCTGAACCGGATGTTATCTTTATCAAGATTATAGTTATTTCTCATATGTGTGCTTTGATTGAAAGAAAGAAAAGGTAACCAGTCAATGCCAAGAGATTGAGTCAAGTACAGTATATGCCTTTTTTTGTTGTCACTTGAAAAACAATAATGTAAGGGTTTAAAGCCCGGTCACTGCTCTGTCTCATGCTCAGTTGGCATCAACATTTGTATTCGTTGTTTATAGAAAAGATCCAGGAGCTTAGCAACGTTATAATGATCCTGCCTTTGTCTGTGTGACAACCACTCGCAGGTTGAGTGAGCACCAAATGGAGCGTATTGATTTTAAAACAGATTTATAAACACTACTGGCAAGAAGATTGGTATTTATATCTTACATCGCGCGCTGTCACAAACAAGATTGTCTCCTCCATAGGTAGATGCATGCATCTTTCTCAGCAGTGAGCAGGTATAGTTCTGTAGAAAGAAAATAGTTCCTAAATGAAACGGCTCACACGAGGGTCTGTGTAATATCTTTTAGTTACCGGCCTGTGATTTCTGGTAATAGACATTGCTGTTGAGTTTAAACATGTATTTAGCCGAGTACCCACTATTCCCATTATATTAGAGAAAAGGCAGACGTCTCTTCAATGGATATCTTCAACACTCAACACATTATTTAAATGGCACTGCAGTTAAGAGGAAAAACATGTATTTTTTGTACACTTAAGGGCAATCTCATCTTGACCACTCAATATTGAATCTCTTGATCTCTGCAGGTATATGATGATGAGGGACTGCTGGAATGCCGTGCCCTCTCACAGACCAACATTCAAACAGCTGGTGGAGGACCTGGATCGCTGCTTGGCCATGACCGCCAACCAGGTCAGTCCTCCTCTCCTCATCAAACATGGAAGAAGCAGAAATGTTTTGTACGTAAAATGCTGATTTATTTTCTTTCTTTGTTGTCTACAGGAGTATCTGGAGCTGTCTCCGCCTCTGGACCAATATTCCCCCAGCTACCCGGACACCCGCAGCTCCACCTGCTCCTCGGGCGAGGACTCTGTCTTCTCCCACGATGCCGGTGCTGAGGAGCCCTGTCTGCCAAAGTTCCCTCCCCACCCGAACGGGGCAGCCATTAAGAAACGCTGATACCTCAAACCTCCATTCAGACAAACATTGACATTTCCTCCGCTCCCTGCCTCATGGGGTTGGACTCTTCCCCACATTTCCAGAGAGGAAGCTAAAAAAAAAAACTCAGTGCTCTGTGAGAAAGGAGCTCGGAGAGAGACGCCTAGTAGAACTTGTTGGATCACACGGACTGAGGAGTGCAGCCGTTTTCCGGGTCTTGGTGGTGACGATGTTTATGGGGCACTTCGTATTAACGGGACAGGCAGTTTGTCACAGTGCCAGGAAAAAAAAAAGATAAGACTCACACTCTTCTCTCCACTTTGGGCATTCGACGGGTCAGGTGAATCGAAAGGACTGACTATGATTTCGATTTTGTTAGTTTTGTTGTTTTTTTTCTCCCCTCAATGGTTGTTTCATCAGTAGTAGAGGACAATATTCTGCTTCTCAGACCAAATCCAGAGAATATACTACCAAGGGACATGCAGCACCGTGGTCCTCTGCATCATTCATTATCTTCTTGTAAATACAGTTAGAAAATTATAAATATGAATATATATTTACATTGTACTCTTATTTTTATTACCATCATTGATTTATTTCTTTTGTACAAGGTTTGATCCATTTTTTAATATAGTCTGTAGGGGAAGTTGTTACAGGAGAATATCTTTAAATTGCTGAGGATTACATGGCCAGTTTTTTTGCTGTATCACAGCGTTGATTCCCCTAAATTTACTGCATAATCATCAATGGAGAAAATATATATTGGGTTTTCTATTTTTTAACTGTAAGTGCTTTTCATAACACAAACCTGCAATACAGTGTAACTCAGTGTTTGGGGTTTCTCTCCATCAGAAGAGATAGATTTATAATATCTGTTTGTGTGTGTGTGTGTGTGTGTGTGTGTGTGTGTGTGTGTGTGTGTGACTGTCTGTGTGTATGCTGGATGTGTGTAGAAAATTGTATCTTGTCTCATTCAAAAATTGTTCATTAACTTCGAGGATGGTCACAACTGTAAATATTCCTGGTTGTACGCCATGCTTGTTACAATCCAGAGTAATTAGCTTCAGTCAACATCATGCACTTCCACTGTGCATGCCTTCCATGTGATGAACTTATTTTCTACTGTAAATGCTTTAACAGGAGTTACATTTGCTGCCATATAACTTCTGACGAAGGGTTGCAGAACACGTATGTCATCGTAAAAGGATTACATTAAATAAAAATGCTATCGAAAAACAAACCGCCAAAGCTTTCAGAGTTTGAACTCTACTTCATAAAGGGGTCTATAAATATCGATATATTCATGTTTGTGATGTAAATCATGTTTACAGAGATGGAACGATGGTCACTTCAATCCCCCACCCATTTAACACGGGTTGCTGGGGGCTGATTAGATATGATAATGTGCTGCTGACATCAGTAGAAATGTTGGCGAGCGCAGAGAGCCACAGCCGGCAGTAAACATGTAATTTATGGCCGTGGGAATGGCTTGGCAAGTGCTGGTGCTACACTTCCATCCATCAGCCACACCAACCTTGATGCCCGTGTCTGCCTCTGGCTTACTGCCATTGGCTGATGCATCACCTGGATTGCAGTCTCCACGCAACAGGCTAAAATCAGCCGCACAGCGCGACTGGCTTTCGACCTTTTTAAAAAGCCAGCTCTTAAAGCTCGGGTCAATGCAGTTAGCCTTCTGTGCATACTGTATTACAGCAGTGGGTGGGTGGTGGGGGGGGGCATTTTACTTAATAGAGAGCTTGCTACTTTTAACAGTTATATGAATACAAGCTGCAGGGACTTTTAAGATGATACCATTATACTTTTTTGTTTGCTCAACAATACATCTCATGGCTTTAAGGATTTCAACACACACTTCAAGGATTCAACAGACCTTATTGTTTTGGGGAGAAATATCATCTCCTCCTGGAAACGAATGTTGAAGGGGGGTTATAAACCGTATCATCTGTGCCGTGGTTGAGGTGATGAAGAGCTCTATTTAAGAATAGAAAGCACAGGAGAGGCCCAGCTTTATAACCTGCTAATGGTGCAGAGCGGAGGAGCACAGATGCTACTAGGTGTTATCACTTCTGACAGATGGTACAGGAATAGTTTGGTAAAGCAAAGTTCATCAGCTATCGTCCAGTGTAGTGCTCTGCAGAAAGCATTCATTTACAAACTCAATGTCTCTTTATTTTTGCTGCATTGAGGACACAGGAGGGTGTATATTGTCAACAGTTACGCTATCTAATTATATGGTGTTTAATCACCGAGATGGAAGGAGCTACTGCTGCGTCCTGTTTTTGTCTGAAATGAATGTCTGATGATTGATTTGGGATTACAGGAATTTTAGTAATCCAAGCCTTGGTATGTTAAGATCCAGCAACACCCCTTGTCTAATTGTAACAGCTTATTTGTAGGACATCGTGCCCTTAACCGAAGGAGGCAAGCAACGCAGTCCTACAAAGTAAAGTTGTTCTTTCCAACATTGGTTGAACACTGATGAACAAAGGCTTTTCCCTGAAATGGAGGGGGGATATTGACGTGACAATTGAAGAATTGTCTTTGGGAGTAAGAAGGAAAAATGCAACACATCCTTTCCGTTCAACCCAGGCCCAGGTCTTGTTCCCTTGTTTGTAGGAAATACTGATTTAGCCTATGGAGTAAACTGAAGAAGAATTAGCAGTTAGCATCAACAAGAAAAGCTCCTCTGGTTGCTCTTGGGATATTAATGTAACAACATTTTTTTTTTTTTAATATATCACCCAGCCTTGTTTTTTTTGTTAGTCTTAGTTCATGTTGACATGCGATGGGAATTTTGACATTTTTACAAAGATTGATTTTTATGTCACATTCTTTTTTTTTAATTAATCTTCTGACTCTCAAATTGGTCATTTAAATATCTAATTTAATTGCAGTTACAGGAAATGGTTGCCCCCTCTCCCTGGCAATGAATGCATCATGACATCTTCATGATATAAATTAGTTCAAATCATCATCATCTACAAACTAGAAGTCAGTAATATGAGCAATATGACACGCCATGTTTCCTCGGGGGGCCTGTTAGACGAATTGCTGTGTTCTTGTTTACCAGAGATTGTTTGATTTATTTCCAGTTTGGGATTATCATCTCCAGGTCTGGAGAGAAGCCTGAGCCTCACCATTAATCTCCACCCTGTGCGTTTCCTGTCAGCGGTGACAGATGACCTGCCCTTCAACTCTCTGCCACCCTGTGAAGAAGACATGTCGTCAATCACAGTATCTTTCTCGGCCGCAGTTAGAGAAGAGGGTCCTCGGCTGCGATGACGCCAGTGGTGATGATGATGGTACTGTGTGTGTGTGTGTGTGTGTGTGTGTTTTTTCTGCTTATTTCAGCCTACAGGAAACAAGGAGCGGTGACATCAGCCAGTTGTTGTGCACCTCTGTCCCCTCACAAATGAACAGATTATTTATGGGAGGGATGTCAGTGCCCATGATGGGATGGAGGGGAAGGCTACAGCAGTGTAATACAGGAACTCATGAATATCATTCTGGCCAGTGTCCATGTGCAAGGTGAAGGAGACATGTCCTTGCATTCCTCCTTACGACGAGCACATAAAAACGAGACCTCAGACATGAAGTGCGTGTGTGTGTGTGTGTGTGTGTGTGTGCGTGTGCGTGTGGGTAACCGCAGCAGACAGGATTAGCTCTGGTACACCATAGATTTCTGATTTCAAAACAGAGGAGGAATTTTAATTTTCTGTTGTTTGCTGCCCACTGTGAGTCCCCTCCCTTGTTAACAGCAGTTAAGATGACGAGCAGCTGTTTTGTGTCTCAATGTGGCCACTGTGGTTTTGGGTGTTGTTCCCTCTTGAAGACATGTTTTTCAGCAAAAGAAAATATGTAATACGTTTAATATTTATAAACATTTAGTGGTGGAATGTCACAAAGTAAATGAACTCAAGCACTGTGCTTACGTAACATGATGAGGTACTTGTACTTTGCTTTTTTTCATGTCACTTTATTCTTCAACTCCACAACAATTCATATTGTACTGTTTACTTTACATCTATTTCACAACATTAATTAGTTTACAAATGAACATCGTTGCATTTAAAAACTGAAATGTTTATAAATTATAAAATGTTGTTGAGGTTAAACTAGACAGTTTATACAAGAACAGCTTAGTTGATTAATAAACATTCAAACTGAGTAAACTATTTGGCATTCGTAAACATTGAAGTAATTATAATTTAGGAGAGATTTTGAGTGTTTTTCTTTTAATATTAGATTTTTCTTTCAATCAATGTTTTTACGTGTAATACACTTACTTTTACATGATCAACATTTCAAATGCAGGACTTTTTCTGGTAACAAATAATTTTTGTGCGGTATTAGTACTTGTATTTAAGTTGAAGATCTAAATACTTCTTCCACCCCTGGTCTTGTCTCTGGATGTCAAAGTGTCTGAGCTGAACCTTCTGTTGCCCTCGTGAAGAAAACATTGACAGACGGAGGCAGTGGGTGTCGTCTCCTCGTCCCTGCTCTCTGGTTGTTGATGTTTCCGTCTCCACAGAGGGCCCGGGCCCCTGTTTGAGAGACGTCTGTCTGTGTGACAGGTCCCCGGCGCCCGGCTGCTCTGTGGGACAGACATAACAGAAGGGGTGAGCCTGGGGCACGGCCTGTCACTCACTGCACGTCTTACCATTGTTTTTCAGTCGCTGCCCTTTTGATTCTTTTCTCCACATCACAAAAACAATAGGCATACGTTTGTGGGGAGATATCTGTTCCGTACACTACATATTGTTAAACTCAGTTGGATTTGAATGGGAACACGTGTTTCAGCCCTTTTGGAAGCACCCTAAAACTACTACAATTATTACAGTTAGTGTTGTTTATTCCAAGGTTCCCCATTAGAAAACTTTTGCTACCCTATTCCCTATATGTTTCCCAGATATAGTTTTTCTAACCACCTTTATTCACATTGTGATTTATGGAGATTCATAAAAAAGACTGTTGTCTGCAAACATGAAAATAGGACATTTTGAGGCTCAAGTTTCTTGTTGTAAAATCTATCTCTGACAGGATTTGTGGAATGAGTATTTATGGCGTCTGGAGGCACAGGTGTGGTCAGGTAAAGGAGATGGATGAGTGTGTTTGTTTGGAGTCGAATGAGGGGGGGGGACAAGGGAGCAGTGGTAGTGGTGTCTGCCCTAACAAGGTGTGTGTTGGCGTCCATACAAAAACTGACGCCTACAGGCATGGCCCCGCCTCTTTCCCACCAGATCGACTTTCTTCAGCGCAGGAATGAGACACGGACACCTCCTCCAGGCTGAGACATATAATCTGGGCCTGTCAGGGCCTTTATCAAACAGGATCAACTGGTGCGCTGGGCCTTTCTCTGCAGTCCCCACAGGCAGCAGGATACCTGCACACGCATTCCTCCGACACATCCCTGTCCCAGGAGGCGTATCACCTGTCTTTTATGGCAGCTTGGCTTGAAGATGAGCATGGGGGGAGGGCATGGGGTACAGTTGCTCCTCTGCATTGTCCTGATTGGGGAGAAGCAGTATTTGGTTTGGATGATTTTCTTGATCCACTTAGTCTCAAAATGTCACAATCAACAGATAATCTCCCTTAGATGTAATGATTTTGTGTCTGTTTTGTCACTGCAGCGTGTTTTCATTGCAAAGATAATGACTATATGACCTGTTGATAGATGGAGATCACATCAGGAGGCTTTTTTTCGCCCCTTGAGGATACTGTAGCTCTCTTGAGCGAGCCCTTCTTGGCTCAGTTGTTTCAGCCCGCCACTTTGTGACTAGATAAGAGAGGGTATGAATCAAAGCAGCAGCGTCGTTGTGCACAGAACTCTAATCATATCACGCGCCCCTGAGCCATATGTCTTTGTACTCTCTTTAATTGAATTGAGCCTGGGATGAGATTGGCTGACATACCTTCCAGTGACTGAGCCGCACTTAGAGAGGGAGGCGAGGAAAAAGAGCAATTTGGGGGTGGTTGTTTTCTTGGCACAGTTTGGTATAAAATCCTAAAGGTACCCCAAAGTTAGCATTTGATATCACATGTTTCACTGCTGTTCATAGACTTGCCCCAGGCACTAACCTTCATCATCTAATATGAAATAATTAGGAATTTTATTTGCGTGTTTGCAGCACGGCAATTGATTATTAAAGACAGACTCATCTAACATGACAGATGTGTGCTCAGCAAGGCTAGTAGTGACAAACACTTACCTTATTGAAT